GGTAACCAATGTCTAAGTAGCCCATCCCTGTCAACCCTGTGTACCGAGGGGGTGGGTGTGATCCTTGCTGTAAAGATTTGTTCCCTTTTTTGAGCTACTACATCCAACTTTATCGTATAGGTGGGTTACTCTTTTTTTTTTTTTTTTTTCCCCTTCCCTCTTCTTTCTTCTTCTAGCTAAGTTCTGATCATCCAGCCATTGAAGCCAGGTCAAGTGGGTATTATCTGCAAGTGTGGGTGTTCTTGTGCATATGTTCTCACTTCTTATCATCTGGACACTTCAGTCTCCACTCTAGTCCTCTGTGGCTATGTCACTGACTCTGGGTCCAGGAGTCCCCAGGTCTTGCCATACTGCTGACCAACCAGGTTCTCCACCTGGGTTCACAGGAGTCTATTGAACATGGTAGGACTTAGCTCACAGCTTCATTGTTGTTCATTCATATATCTTTTATGAAATATCTATTTAGATCTTTTCCCCAATTTTTAAATTGGGCTGTGTATTTTATTGAAAGAGTTCTTGATATATTCTAGATATAAGCCCCTTACATCATTTGCAATGTTTTCTTTGATTCTGAAGATTGTCATTTCACTTTCTTGATGGTAACCTATGAAGCATACATTTTAAAATTTTTGATAAAGTCCACTTGACATGGAAAAAAAAAAGAAAGTTAAAAACTGCATTAGTAAAGAAAAGGGAATGAAATTTGCCTGAGGAAATTTTTTTCCATCATGACACTTCATGTGCTCATTCTTCAACAGTAGCAAGGGCCGCCGTAAGAGAATTTCATTGGGAAACCTTACCCATCCACCCGACAACCGTGCTCTTGTCCCTTCAGACTTCTCTGTTGGTCTCTAAACTCCAAGAACATTGAAACGGAACAGAATTTGAGTCCATCGAGGATGCCAGAACTGCTGATTTAACATGGTATAAATCAAAGAGCTCAGAATTCATGTGGAAGGTTTAGAAAGATGGAAATACCACTTTCAGAAGTGTAAACTCTGCCTTTAGAAGTGTGTAGACCTAAATTGAGGATATGTGAAGAAACAAAAGCTTCAGGTCTTGCTATTTTTGTTTTATTAAAAAAGGTTTCTATGATTTTTGTCGTGAAATGTTTTGAGTTACCTTTGTAGTGCCTGTTGTGAAGAATGAACATGTGTCCTCCCTCTTGTCAGACCTTTAGGTAGTGTCTGCTGTTCCCCTGGCTTCTTTGAGAGTCTGAGTCAGACCTGTGTCTTGTGTTGAGGCTGTCACTGGTCATGTAATGTGGAAAGTGAGTGCTGCCCTGCAGGAGTGGGAGCAGAGGCTGGACAGTGGAGGGAGAGGATGTGAGAACTCACTTAGCTGGATGTGTGGAGGACCGGTTAGGACATCAGCACATACTTTTGGGGAACACAGTGCTCCCCACAACAGATCCAAACATCAGGCTGTTCTGGGGCCACACCCTGGAGTCTTTGCCAAGGCACATTTAGCCTGAGTTGCTGTAAGAGTAAGGCAAAGGGATGGGATAAGCAATTCCATTTTTGTGCTGAGCTGGATGTGAAGGCAGGTGGGGAGGCAGAGGCCAAGATGGTGTGTATATGTGTGGGGGGGGCACATGAGGAGACTCCTCAGTGCTCAGTTGTGGACTGGGTCATGGAACCGGAGCCATTGTTTTCTGTGGATTTCCATCTTAGGCAGTTGATATCAATGCCGTGGTTGGGTTTTTGCCACAGCTGCTTAATTAGCCAATTAGAACACAGGGCCTTGTCACAGGCTGTTTGTTTCAGTGACAGCACACTGTGAGCATTTTGATGGATCCTGCCCTGGAGCATAATTGCCTTTCTCTTGTCATTGTTTTTTTCCGTATTTATCACATTACAACTGCTTCTGCAGCTCCAGTGGCACCAATAAGCTGGTGGGGGTGGAGTTTCAGTAGCTGCTGGCAAACAAAACAGCTGGAAGGGCTTTGTCCCTTTCTTCTTTGTTCTTTGTCCCTGAGCTCAAGAGTGCAGGGGCCTGTGTGTTGGGAACTTGGTTCCTTGAAGCTGTTTTTTGTTTCTGACTAACATCCGGTTGTGATCCAGCTGTACTGGGATGTACTTAGACGTTAATGTTTTCCTGGGAATGTGGACCTGCCTCCACGGATCAGGGTTCAGAGGCACGTGAACAGCAGCTCTTCATTGAAGAGCCCATACATTTCATTTTGTGTGTAAGAGTGTTACATCTTATGTCTTTATAAAGTGAAGAAGGCCAGGTTTCATATGGGTCTTGTGGTAAGCACATTATCCTCATTAGATGGCAGATGATAATGACTTGGAAATGCCCCAGGCCCTGATGCAGTTTACATAATTTTGCGTGTTAGCACTAACGCACCATTATTGTGAAGCAACATAATGAATGGGTTCAGTTCAAGGGCTGAATTTGCAAGCAGGCTCATTTAATGTACACTGAGATGGAACTCAGGTCTGTCCAGCATCAGTGTGACCCAAGAGCACTCATTCCTTAATCTAGGGAGCAGCTTCATGGAGGGCTACATAGGTTCTTTTTTTTTTTTTTTTCACAAATAAGATTTTTTATTTGTCATCATTAAAAGTCTGAATTTTAAACAGATTCTTGAACTAGTCATTCATAGCCATCAGCTTGTTCAACTTTAGCACCTGCCTCATGTCCTTCAACTTTAGCACCTGCCTTATGTCCAGTAGCTTTGCCGGAAAACTCATGAAGCTCCATGAGTTTTCGCAACTTAAACTTGGGCTTCTTCAGCATTTTTACTTTGTTAACAAACACGTCATGGAGGAAAGGTTAAATAGACTGGCAAGCCTATGTCCTTTCCAATGCAGTCTGGAATCAGTTTGTTGATCACTTCTTTCAAGTCATTTGTCTGCACCTCTCAGGCCACGATTGCCATGATTTTCTTCCGGATTTGATGGACTGTTGGTCAAGCAGTTTTTGCCCGGAACATCATCAGTAATTAGCTTGACTTTTCTAAATACAACTTCATCATTCTGCAGATCAGCAAGACACACTTCAAAAACACGACCCTTGAGTCCATGAGATGCAATTTTGGTTCCTTGTGACTAGTGTTTTCCCAATATTTATTATGTTGAACATAGCTGGTGCCTTCACATCATACCAATCTTTCTTAGAAAATGGATCAACCACTCTCTTCTTGGCTCCTTTTTTGCCACCTTTTGTAAGGCACTTGTTCTTGCCGACCGCCATGGTGCTGCTCAGAGAGCCAAAAGGGCCACATAGGTTCTTATACAACCAACCTGGGTGTACTTAGTTCCTGCTTTTGGGGTGTTAAAGACAGTCTGTGTTCCTGGGAGAGGGTCACAGCTCAGGCAGGGCAGGTGGGCTTCTTGGTACAGCAGTGTGATAAGATAGGTATACTTTTATAGGTGGTACTATTCCAAAGCAGGTCCCAAGTGAGTGTATGCCTTTGTCTTTAATGATTTCCCAGAACCCACTTGGCACATTAAAAGCCGACTGCTGTCACAGAAGGTGCAGAACAGAGGGCCTGAGGTCCAGGTGCAATTTCCCCAGCATTTTGTTTAGGCAGTTTCCAAACCGCAAAGTGAAAAGAATTTTATATCAAAGTGCTTACATTCTGTCATTGGGAGCAATTTTTTTAAAAGGAGAAATAATAAAAGCAAAAATTGTCTAAGACATTGACTTTGTTGCAACTGTCTTAAAGACTCAACTTGTTTGGCACTGACTTTGGTAACAAGTGCAGAAAACATTTGGTGAGGAGTTGATGCCTATTAACTGAACATGCGACTGTGAGTCTGTCGGAGGACCTGGTGTTAATTTTGATGCTAACCTGGGACCTCTCTCTGGCCATCTAGAGCTGTGGTGAGGCGGTGCACTGCCCTGACATTCACAGCCTCTGAGGAGAAGGTTTTGGTGGCCGACAAGTCTGGGGACGTCTATTCCTTCTCTGTGTTGGAACCTCAGGGATGTGGGCAGCTCGAGCTGGGACACCTCTCTATGCTATTGGACATGGTACGTAGGTGGCTGCTTTACTGACGTCTGCTTTGTAAGTGTGTCATGCCCATTGCCCTTACTGGCTGTCACAGCGCATTGTGCTGCTGCATTGTGAGGATATCTAGGATACCTCAGCTCCTGGCCACAGTCTTAACCATTTTGGCAGAACTGAGTGTGGTTTTGTGTAAGGCATTGGGTTAGGGTTTGGGGAAGACGTGACTGCTGGCGGCTCATGGTGCTCCAGAGGCTTTAGGAGAAGCTAAGTATACTAACTACGATGACGGCAGAGCGTTAAGAACAGTAATGCAAGGGGACACAAGGAAGGATTCAGAGCAGGGAGAGTTAGCATGAAGATGCTCTGTGTCCCTGCTTTTGTTCAGGTAAAGCACATATGTGTCCAAAGCAATGTCTTGGGGCCCTGGGGCCATTGGTTGTCTCTTGAGCAGGATGGGCAGGGTCTTCCCAGGTAGGTCAGTAATTGCAAGCATGCTCCCTGTGGATCCTGCCCTTTAACCCATGTCCTCTGTCCCCCTTGCCCAAAAGTCTGCACAGATGGCACTAAGTCTCACACTGAAATGCTGAGGGTCAGATGAGGGTCCACACGTCTCCCAGAGGCTTGCAGCACCTGCCCTTGCCTCTATGCCGGTCTTGATGAGGGGATGTTGGCAGGGAGGCAGGGAGGGACCTGTGGGCAGAGGTGAGAGGGGAATGAGAAGTGGGGTAAGAGGTACTGTGCTTTCGACCATGTGTGGGTAAGTGTGGGACTCCCTCTAGAGCCCTTTATGCAGGAGCCAGACAGGCAAATGGAGGCAGGAGGTGAATGGGTGCTGCCAGATGTAGGATCACACCTAGGTCTCATGATGGATCAGGCAGGCAGGAGAGAGCATGGGTGGCAAACACTACTTTCTTTTGGTCCCTGCAGCAGGCCCTGAATTGGACACTGTCCCATCCCAGTTACAGATGACTGTCTGGGGTCCAGGGAGGGCCAGTGATGGGGGCACTAGCGTGGGAGCTGTGCAGGGAAAAGCGGGATCCAGGGGGCTGTCTGGAGGAGAAAGTGCCAGGACTTGGTGATGGGTGTGTGGCAGAGAGGAAGAAGGGAAGTGACCTCAGTCTGTGGAGACCAGAGAGTGTGTTTCTGGGGCAGTGGGTGGGGATAAGAACATCTGTGGGTGGGTGGAGCTTGAGGAGGTGTGACGCACAGGGAAGCCCCATGTTTCATGGAGCGGGGCTGGCTCTCAGGGCCCACCCAGATCAGGAGGAGGGGCTGGGCAGGCCTGGATGTTGGTTAGAGCCGTGGTATCTGGAGGGGAGAGGAACCAGCCCGGCGTCCCCAAGGACCCTATGCAGGTTCCCTCCTGAGGGGCCTTTGGGGTGTCATGGGGCCCAGACACTAGAGGAGACCCCAGGCTGTAGCCCCTGCAGCTCTAGAGATGCAGCCTCTGCATCTCCCTTCCCTTGCCCTGCAACACAGGCGGTGAGTCCTGATGGCCGCTTTGTCCTCACCGCGGACCGTGATGAGAAGATCCGAGTGAGCTGGTTGGCAGCGCCCCACAGCATCGAGTCCTTCTGCCTTGGACACACCGAGTGAGTGCCCGCCCCGTGCCTTCTCTCCTACTCTGGTCGAGCGTACCTTCTCAGTCTTGGCAAACTGGGTTTTACAGCAGGGGACAGTGGAGCTGTCTGGTTGAGGAACTGGTAGCTGCTTAGTGGCAGGCCATTATGCAGCTGCATGTGACCTCTCTGTTAACAAGGGACTCCCATTCCTACCCCTTACCAGTGCCACATTGACGGCTTCCTGATGCTGTCATGTCTGACTGGTCTGTTCTCACCTTAACTCCTTCTGGCCCTAATGAGTTTTGCAGAGAGAGATTTTTTTTTTTACTACCACAGTCTTAACCAGACCAGACTGACGGCTTGATTTTGCTGCCCACCAAAGACAGGAAGCATGAGGAAAGGAGTTTGCGCTGCGCCTGCTTCTCAGGTCTGTTCCTCCGCGACAGTCTTTTGATGAGGATTTGTTCCGGAATAGTTCTCAGGGTAGAAGCCCTGGATCTGCGGGGCTGTTTGTTGGTGACCATAATTTACTAATTTTAACTGTCGAAGCGTTAAGTAGCCTTGAACCTACCACTGGCCATTGCCCTTAGTCACTTCTGCTTCCAGGCACATGAACTTTCTTTTCTTAATTGGAATTTCGGTGTCTAAGGAAGGGAATTCTGAAGGAATACCACCCTTCTCAGGCAAAAGGCTAATTAGGATTTCCACAAAGGAAAAACACTTAGTTTAATTGGCTGAAATGTTTTAAAATACTTTATTTGAAGAAGTTTTTTAAAAAAATAAAAAGGAGGGATTTACTTCAGTTCTGGGATTGCTCCTGTTGTTTTGGTTTCTAATGGAAGGCAAGCATTGCTGGTCACTCAGTGTGGACCTTGTAATAGCTCATCCTGACTTTAATTTGATTCTGTAGTGATCCACAACCTGGAGCCCTAGGACCCACAAACTCTCCAGCCTTCCCCATTGCTCTGGGCCCCCTCTGCAGCTGGCCTTATACTGTTGGACAGTGTTGTGCTTGGTCTCTTGGTCACATTCAAACGTCCGTTTGTGTCCCTCCAGTGTCCTAGTGGGAGGGGCTCTATGGGTTTTACTTGTTGCTGTCTCTGCAGTCACCATAGTGCCTGGCATATGGTAGGTGGCCAGCAGATAGTTAGACGAATGACATTTCTCTCCTGCTGACAACTTGGAGGAGACCCACTTCCTCAGAAACAAAAGCCCTCTGCCATCAGGGCAAAAAACAAGGTGTATTTGTCTTGGAATACGCATATTATCTTTTCCCTTTTGAGGATCTGAGATGGGAGCCCTGAGTGTTTAGGCAGCCTTTGGTGCTGGGATAAGGGGTAACCTGGAAGGGTCTGGTGAGGGAGAGAGCCATGGTGGACTAGCCTAAGGGACCAGTGAGTGAGCTGGGTGCATTAGAGATGGCTGGGGCCCAAGATGGTGGGAAGAAGGGTACTACTTTCCTCCCTAGAGATTCTAGAGCTGCATTCACAACCTACAGGACCGAGGGGCTCGGGGGTCACGCTGCCCTGGGCCCACTCTCAATTTGGCATTCTGTGACCATCGCAAGCTAAGCTTCTTTTGGAGGACTTTGTGTGGTCTAGCTTAGAGAGTTCTCTGGCCGGTCACTCAGGTGTCTGGTGCCATGGTTGTGTGGTGGCTGTTGTTCCTACATTGAGGACGGAGGAACTTCACATGCCTGGGCCCTGGCTGTGAGGAGTCTCGACCCTTCTTTGTGTGTTCCTGCCCTACCTTCCCTCCATGCTTTGTCCTGTGGGCCTCATTGTGCTCGGTACCATCATGACTCAGCGGCAGATGTGTAGTGAGGTGGCTGTGTTGGGGGCCAGGAGCTTCCTTTGCTGAAATGTGCTTATGCTGTTTGTGAGCTGGGTGCATTAGACATGGCTGTTCACTTGCACTCCTGTTTTGGGTCAGGGGTAGGATGGGGAGGTCTCTTGTTTTCCGAGTCGCTGGCAGCCTCCATGCTGATGCCACAGAGCCTGCGCTAATTCCCCACTCCTCGTCTTCCCACTTCAGGTTTGTGAGCCGGATCTTTGTAGTGCCTGACCATCCGGAACTGTTACTGTCCACCTCTGGAGTGAGTGCTCTTCGTGCTGGCCAGGGATGGGGTAGGGTAGTGATGAAAGCTGGTCAAGGGTGGGATTCTCAGGTGCCCCGCAGTCCTCTGTGGGTTGGCAGTCCATGTGTCCTTTTCCTCAGTGGCCCACTAGATGGTGCTTGATCTTCCTGAGTGGTAGTGGGACTGAGGCTTGTTCCTTGTTCACTGCTGGTTCCTCGTGTGTGTGTGTGTGTGTGTGTGTGTGTGTG